TATCATCAACATGTCGTACCTATCGCTTGGACTCAACCTGCCTGCACGATTTGAAATTGATCCTTGGTTGTCATGAAGAGAGCTATTGCGCATCACAACGCAATAGTTAAGTGTGAATCACCGGATAACTCACAACAGGTACGCTTTTCTTTCCTCTCTTCATCTTACCAAAGACTCGTCAGCTAATTCTTCCTTCTCATTGTTTCTCATAACAGGTTGCCTATGAGTCATTCCTCATTAACCTTTGTGCAAGTCCAAAACTGATCACATGGAATTCGACTTCAACCCTCCAGGTTTGTTCATTTGAATTCTCCAATTTTTCCATCAATTTCATTAGTTTCTGTTTTTCTGATACTTTTGATTTTTATTAGCCTGAAGTCTCAGAAAAAGCATTGATCAAGTCTTCCGCTTGTGTTTTGCTACCTGCCAAAAGAAAGTGTCCCGTTCGCCGACAAAGACTTCCAAAAATCTTGATTTCGAATCAAGATAGCAATTTGGACATGGCTCCTGCCACCAAAGTTGATCCTAAACCGTCTCTACTCAATCCAACAGCTAGTTTTATCCCGCTCACTGAAGACCAATCCCAAAACTATCATATCTTCAATGAGTTACTTGCTGAACACGAAATATCAAATGTTTCCCGTTTGGCACCCGAACTCCCCTCGATCACTCCTAACCCATCTCGGGGAACGAAAAGATCAGTCTCAAACTCACAACTTTTCACAGCTAGTTCACCAACTTCAAAGAAATCAAAACCAACACTTCACTGGACCGAAATCTTAGATGATCTGATGACGGCTTCGGATTGGGAAGAAGCAGAAGAAGAGGCACAGAAAGAAGCTGATCAAAACAAAAAAACAGTTGATGCGACTTCACTTAAACAAACAGTCTCTTTCATCCCGCTCACTGAAGACCAGTCCGAGAACTTTCATATCTTCAATGAGCTACTTGCCGAATACAATGTATCTACATCTCCAAACCATTCACTTTCGACATCCAAAACCACTTCAATCAACACCAACTTATCTCAGAGAACAAAAAGATCACCTTCACATTCACAATTTGTCACCACTCGTGCACCAATCTCGAGAAAATCAAAACCAACACTTCATTGGACTGAGATCTTGGATAATTTCATGACAGTTTCTGATTGGGAAGAAGCCGAAGAAGAGTTAATGCAAGAGTCTAATCAAAGTAAATCGATAGTTACTTTCAACAAAAGCAAAGAACCAACTTTGGATCTAGAAACTTGTGCCTCTGTACCACAAGAATTCACACCTCTCACTTTTGTAGAATCTTCAAATTTTGATATCTTTAATGAGTTGGTTCTAGAACACCAACTTTTAGAGACTTTGAAATCCTCATCATCTGAATGTACTACTGCCACATCCTCCCCACCACCGAGGAATCAAAACTCTTCTTCAATATCAACACCTTCAAAACCTAGCTTACAAAGTTTCAAAGATAGTCAAAGACAGCTTCATTGGTCTGAAGTTTTGGATAGTCTTATGACAGACGAAGATCGAGAAGAGGCAGATGAATCTTTCACAATTTCCGTCAAATCTGACTTGAAGAAACCTATCACTTGTCCTGAAACACCTTTGGAGTCTTTTATTCCTTCATCTTATTCGAGCGCTGAGAATACTCATGCTTTACCCACACCTATAGAAGAACTTAAAGATCCTTTTGAATTGATTAGTAACGATTATCAAAACTCTTACTATCAATCAGATATGAGTTTTGATTTGGTGAAATCTTCTTTAAAAGAATCTGATTATCTTTCAATGGAATTTTCAAGTTTTAATTTTGAAAATTCTTTTTGTAGTTGATTGATTATAGAATCTTGTAAAACTCAAAATTAAAAAAAATGTTAAATATCGCTTTTGTTCTCTTATCTCTGGCCTGATTTTCTCTATTTTCTTTGTTTTTCTGCTTTTTCTTTTTGTCTTTTTTCCCTTTGTATCTTTCTCTGAATTTTATGTGAGGCAATTTGACATAATTTATCATAATGGATTGAGAGAGAGAGAGAAGAACCTGCTCATGCGTAAGAACAGGGAGTAACCCCATAAATAACTTCCTTATTGCCATAAGCTAACGTTACAATCACTGGTGGTTTGCTGAGTCTTCTTTTGAGCTAAAATTCGAGGGCGCATTAGACGGAACTCTCACTGGTGAGCTTCCTTGATGTTTTAACTTTTGGCCTA